GATATACTGAAAACCACAATCGAACATATCTTGACGAATGTGTCTTTGAGAACCAGCCAGATGGCACCTATGTGGCGAATGCTGCAACAGATGCCTACGAGTCTTACAATATTCAATATGCATTTGTAGAATCCAACGTTACCGACTTCACAATTGATTCAAATACGGTAAGTTGGATAGGTTGTAGTGGAAATTTACTCATCACAAGGCACCGTGATCCCACAAAATCCTGACCAATTTCGAACCCCGACACTTCAATCAACCTTTTGAACCCACTTTTAGTTTCCAAATTTATTTTATTATTACAATTCCATCCTGTATTTGTTTTCATTTCGCTGCAACGCTTTTATATAATTATTGTCATGAATGGCACAAATTTTAGGCATTTTTGGTATTACCAACTTTGTCATTAAACCCAATAAACATTAAATAATTCTTTTTGCATTCACGACCGACTTCGTAAAAAACACTCCTGCATGCTGGTTGTTTCATTTATTTGTTTTCACACTTCAGCCACAGTGAAATATAAACAAATATGTCTCGACAGATATCTAACTCGAATACTGTTACCATTTCTTAAGTATTTACATCCAAACTTTGTACAATTCCACCCTGTGTTCAATAACGTTCATCCTAACTGCAAAAAACAAAAGTCCCTTAAACCTATAGAACCTATTCTAGCTGCCAATGTTTGACAGAAATGTTTTGCATGTCTGTTATTCTATGTCAAATTGTGCATACATCATGTATTAATAGCCACGCACATTCGTGGTTAAACCATCAATAATTAGTGATATATGTCTTGTAAATAATGAAACCTTGTATATTATTTCTCATTTAAACGTTGCTTTAAATACAATTGTTTTTCGTCAAGCGTCTCGATATATGAACTTAGCCCACTATGTGAGCGTTCTTTAATTTCGGTCGACAATTAAATTAATTTGTGCTTGTATTCTTTGGAAGTTTATCTCAGTATGCCTTTTTTCGAGTCTTCGTTTAAAGAATACGTTCACAAGCACAAGTCGATGGAAGATCAACGCCCATAAATTCACCAACAATTAAACACAATCGACAAACAAAACAATGCAGCGTACTATTTTCCTGGTTGAATAACAATTTTACGTGATTTTTTGGTAAAATGTTCGTATTCTTTTGACAAACCAAGTTCCCATTGAGACATGCTTTTTGCCTTATCAAGTCAGAGTTTTTTTGGAACAAAGAAAATGGTTTGGTTTCTCTTTCACATTGAATGCACAAGAATGAAGTTAGATGTTGTTTCAAGTTTAATATTGTTGTATGTCCATTTCATCAGGGAATAGTTACAACAGCAAAACCGCTCGACAGAGAAGACAGATCTTCATATCGATACTCAATTATGGTCTATGTTGAAGATGGATCTATATGTCTCGTGGATCCGGTGAGTAATCGTTACGGTTGGGAATAATTTGATGATAACATCATCCTGCCCTTGTTGCGCCCTCTGCCGAGGAAGTGCTTTTTTCTGACGTAAATGGGTGTTATGAGGCCGTTATATGCGTCGATAAGAAAAATCGTTATTGCTATTACTATTTATATATATCTATGACTATCACTGACATTGGTCATGCCTTAAATACCTAACCTCTGTGGTGGAGATTTGTCTAGTTGAAGATTTTCTCAGTGTTGATCTTATTTGAAGTTGTTAACGATTCCCTATACTTGTGTGAACACAACTAAGCACAGTCGTCGTTTTAAACTAAATAAATTTCACCTGTTTACGTTTATTTGACGTCACATACACGTTTTGGCGTTTTGTGGTACTTGATTCATTGTAGTGGGCGCATGAAGTTCATTATACAGAGAGTTCCATGTATATGAAATAATATTTGCTTTTGTCTAATTAGATTGTAGCGGAGCTTAAGGTCACGATCCTCGACGAGAATGACAACTCTCCATATTTTTTAAGTGATTATTATGAAGGTCAAGTGCATGAAATCAACCAGTTTGATGAGACTCCTCAGGGAAATGAAGAAGTCGAACTGGTATGTGATAATGTTCAAACACTTGAGCGCCATATTTTTCATATCAAAATATTGGTGAATATTTTGCTTGTGTTGTTTGCTTTAAGTCCAAATAGGAGGTAAAGTCCTTATTTTTGTCTGTCCTTTCCTCTCTCTGTCTGGGTCAAATCGTGTTTGAACAAGCTAAAGTGTTGTTGACCTTTGACTTCGAGCGAACTTTGACCTCTTCGGCTAAAAATAACAATTAGACACCAGATTTAACATGAACTGTACATAATAATTGTCTAATTGGCATACTAATTAACTACTCTTAGTGTGTTTTGCTTAACCTTGAAACATGCATACAGCTTGTGTATGACCGACATTGTTTGCAATCAAGCTGTAAGCAATTTTCTCAAATATATAGTGAAACTTTGTAGCTTGAATAGATAAAAACAATAGTTTCTAACAATACAATTTGCATAAGAAACTGATTATCAATGTCTTCACAGACTCCTTCAATAATGTCAACAGACTGGGACTATGGATTCAATGCTTCAACAATATATACACTCGCTGGTGATGGTCATGAACAGTTTAAAATAGATGAAAAAACAGGTGTCATCACAACGACAGATGATGAATCGATTTTAGACTTGGATCGTGAAGAACGAGATCGTTATGATTTGGAAGTGATAGTGTTTGATCGAGATGGTGTAGATGATCTGAGTCTTAACACTAGTGTCCCATTAACTATTGTATTACGTGACGTGAATGACAACTATCCACAGTTTACAAAGGATGAGTATAATTACACAATCTGGGAAAACTCGCCCACTGGATACGAGATTGACGTTATTAATGCCACGGATGAAGATATTGGAAACAATGCCACGATTAGTTTTGTGATTCATACGGGCGCTGATGGTCATTTTGAAATCAACAGAAACACTGGCGTTTTGAGCGTAGCAAACACTCTTGACCGTGAAACCAAAGCAAGATATACATTTAACATTTCGGCTAGTGACCATGGCGTACCTATTCTAACTAACTACACTGAAGTCATTATTGACTTACTCGATATCAATGACAACCAACCAACATTTACGCAAAGTGCGTATAGATCCCAGCAAGAAGAAAGTGTCCCTATTGGAACAAGCGTGTTACAAGTAACAGCTGTGGATTCAGATGCAGGTTTGAATGGCCAAGTGATATATTCGTCAAACACAACCGATTTTACAGTTGATAATATTACAGGTAATGGATACTATTTTAACTGAAACGCACTGTTCAGTCAGATAAATTGAAAAATATATAAAATAGTTGTTTCTTTTACATTTCAGATTTCTTTTAGCGCATATTTTACTCACTTACACATGTTCATTTAGTCGCTCTGAGGCGCATTCATTAAGAGGTCATTTGGAGCCGACATTTACGGATCGGTGACTGAGTATACTGAGTTACGCGCTTACTTGCAGGGGAAAGGCGTTTTGCCGTGGTCGTGAGTTCGAATTCCGTGTATACGTGGTTAAATGTTTTTAATATGCCTGAACAATGATGATACGGAAGAGTTTCGTTGACAGAGGGCGCAACTTCTAAAAATGGCTCATTGACAGCACTATCAAAATACAAAAGTAATGTGTACTTATCTCAGTTATAACAACAATAACAACACTAACGTATAATCCATGACATCTCCCTGATCATTTTAGGTGAAGTAATGACACTTGTGGCGCTTGATTACGAAGATACAGATGGCAGAGAATACATATTTGACGGTAAGAATGTTAATGTTATAATTGAGCTTGTATATTCCTCTCCCACTAGTTTATACTGCAGTGTTTATTAAATTTTATCTTTCAGTATTTGCGGAAGATTGCGGCGAACCGTCCCATACAGGTTCCAGTCAGGTTACAATCACCGTCACTGACATCAATGACAATGCACCACAGTTTGCAAGCACGTATGAATGCACTATTGACGAAACCATGATTGTAGGTGACATAGTTGTGATAGTAGAGGCTACAGATGCTGACAGTGATACCAATGGAGAAGTGACATATTTTATTGACAACAATGACTTCTCAATTGATGACAGCGGTGTGATTACTCTTGCTAAAGACGCCATGTTTATTATCTGTGAAAATGGAGACTACTGTGCTGAGATAAATGTTACTGCACGGGATGGCGGTGAACCTTCTCTCTACTCAAGTACTGACGTGTTTGTGTCAATGACTGAGGGAGGTCGTGGATTGGAATTCAATCAAAAAGAATATCGTGGTAATGTTTCCGAAGAACAAGAACCACCCATATATGTGCTAACAGTGTCAGTTAGTAACGACGATACCGTGGATTACCGCATTACTAGTCATGTGAACGAGTTTGTGATCAACCCAACAACGGTATGTAAACACGTTATACACGTGTTATACTCCCATTATGGCGGCGTGGTACAGTGCATTGCGTTCCTGCTTGCATTATGCACGTTGTATATTGAAAATGAATGCAAACTTACTATACGTCTCATAATTTTATCAAAAGGGTGAGATATTCACTGCTATGAAGTTGGACAGGGAGGAAGAAGCAAGGTATTCATTCTCTGTTGCAGCTACTGATCCTGATGGAGATTATTATGAAGGCTATACGTTGGTAAAATGTTTTTTTTGTTTCTTTAATTCCTTTTCAAATACCGTGGCTAATATTTTAGTAATAGTTTAGCTATCTCAAAGTGTTTAAATAACTTTGGATTTCCTTTGAATCTAATTTTAACAGGTAAACATTTTGGTTGATAATATCAACGACAACAGTCCAATATTTGACAGACCGTATTACAGCGGTGAAGTGGATGAGGGAAATTATACTACATGTCATGTTGCAATAGTGACTGTGATAGCATTTGATGCAGATACGGGTCACAATACTGAAATAACGTACAGCATAACAGATGGACATAATGGTATGTTGTTTTTTGGTGGTAGCTAATTTTTAATTATCACTTATTAAATTATCTTTCGTTGAGTTCATGCATTGCTTGAATTGCTGTGCTCATATTTTAGTACGCATTTGTATTAGATGAATTCTTCATCGATTGGAATGGAACCATATATGCTGCTGGTAATATCGACAGAGAAGAAATTGCTTTGTATACGTTAACAGTTATGGTATGTA